GGACATCTCTACGCCATGTTATTAAATAAACACATGTTTAATCAGTAATAAACCTCTTTTATAATTATCCACATCAAATAGCGATTTTAATAACCTGTGATCTGATTTTTGCATTTTTTTGGCTCATTAGGTTTCTCTTATTGAGGCGAACATTTTGATAGTTGTTTCATCCAAATTGGACATCTCTACGCCATGTTATTAAATAAATACATGTTTAATCAGTAATAAACCTCTTTTATAATTATTCACATCAAATAGTGATTTTAATAACCTGTGATCCAATTTTTGCATTTTTTAGCTCATTAGATTCCTCTCGTTGAGAAGAACATTTTGATAGTTGTTTCATCCAGATTGAACATTTCTATATCAAGTTATCAATCAAAACAGTTTGTACATTTTTTACAGATTTTTTTAATTATAATTATTACTCCGTGGAGTAACCCAGAGCAACCCGGAGTAACCCGCGGAGTATTAACCTGATACATTTAATTCGGGTTGGGTTGAGTTGACCCTTGCTCTACTATAATATGAACCCAACCCAACCCGTTATGTTTCATTAACAACCCTACTGATGATACATGCAAATTGGATATTTAGATAAATTGTATAGTACGAAATGCTATTTTGTACTGTATAATAGTGACTTGTATAATTTATTTGTAGCTTGTACGGTTGATTAACTAATATCACGTAATATTTTTTATTAATTTTAACCATGGAGAATTTTACTTGGATGATATATAAATGTGACGAATAATATTTTAGACCCAAAAAAATTCTAAGTCCTAAAAAAATATAATAAAAATTGAATGTTGGGGTGTGTTGAGGTGGTGATAATAAAATGTAACACCTCTAATTGATTTGCATGTGATACAAACCCTAACCCCTAAATTTGACAAAATAGATAATAATATATATTGCAGGAGTTGGGTTTATATTTAGTACTGTTCGGCTTTTTAATATAAAAATACTTGTACTGTACGGTTTTTTAACATAAAAAATTCATACAGTACGAATTTTGTGCAAAATTTATATAAAATCGTACAGTACAAAATAGCGTTTCGTACCGTACAGTTTATCGTCATACCTATGCAGATTCTATTATATTCGAATTCCTTCTATGGTACATATCATGTGATGAAGTGATTGATAAAAACTGTTTTTCAAGGAAACAATACACTTTGACATATAAATTTCCTGCCTTTATAATTATGTCCATTCTTAAGCTAGAAGCAATATTCTTTATTACTATATTTGTTATCTCCTGCTTTTCTATTAACTAATTGATCAGCATTGGCTATAATTTTTACCGCGATCCAGCGATCCATATTTTAAGGACCAAAATCATTTTCCGACTTCAAAAAATGTATCTCCGTTTAAGAAACAGTCTGGTCATTTTTCCTATAATCAGAAAAAATATTGTTAACAAATTTAGCACGAATCAAAAACAACTCGTCGCAACTCCAGGTTCGCAATGGAGTAATAAAGAGCTTGAGTATTTCAAAATAGAGTGTGCTAATGTGAAAGATTTCAAGAATTTTTTTCAAGAAAGTCCCCCAAAGATTGAAAGTTTTTTTGAAAAAGTGAAAGAAGCATTATCTATAGATATATCTCGACAAGACGCTGTAGAAAAAACAGATTGGGGAAGTATAAAATGTAAGGAAATTTTCAAACTTGCTAAATCTATACTGGCCGTGACAAAGGTTCATCCAAACGTTGAAGGCACAGTAGACAATCTTGCAAGACGTATACTTGAGCTTTTTGATTATGACGAAGGGGACCTGTACATACAATCTCGAAATGAAGTAAAGTTAGAAATGTGCGGATCACAAACGTACGCCAAACCTGATTTGTGCGTTGAATTATATAATCTTCAAATCAAGTTGTTAATACAAGAAGACAAGAGTTACAAAGCTTCCAATCAAGATACCGATGCTGAATTCCAGGTTATTGCTGAAGCAATAGTATCATTTCAAGAAAATAGTAAAATAAAAAAATTTAAACCACCTTTAGAATCGCAACTGATTCCTTGTATAACATTGCTCGGAACCTACCCTACGTTCTATTTATTTGAAGTAACTAGGAAGCTATCAGAATGTGTAAAAATGGGGAATCGCCCCGAGGAAAAGACTATAGTTAAAAAATACGATTTTCCGGTGTTGCCCTATCTCTTTAAAGATGTGATGCTAGTACAGGAACATAGAAAACATATTTTTCAATGCTATGAAGCTTTTAAAAAGTTTGTGGTAAGAAACAATTAATAGTTCTCTCTCTCTTACACTATTTTTTTTTAAATTAGTGGTGTAATATTAGATTTTTGTAATTTTATAATTTATATAATTTATATATATTTTCATTTAGCATAACTATTCTTTGTATAATCCAAGTTTTGAAATAAGTCATGTTCCAAATTTCTTAATAAAAGCTATAAACAATTGTAGCAAAAATAAACCCCAATTTTTGATCAGCATTGTTCTTTGTATCTGGTGATGGCTTTGAGGAGTATAGAGGAGAATCTTGTGTGGTGTGGTATGGGAATGCTCCGGAAAAAATAAACTAGAGCACATTTTTTTATAAAAAAGTAACACGTATGATACCACTACGCTATTAAAATAAAGGTATTTAAAGTTTTAAGTTTACTCAATAAGGCCCAATTCTCAAAGATGCTCTGGAATAATTATATATGGGTCTTCGTAATACCAAACATACCTTAAAACAATCCAGTTTTCTTTGCACAATTCATTCTTGAGTTGATCCCGTTCCTGCTATTTGATGAAATTATTGGGATCACTTCTGTAAAAGAATTCGATATATTTTTCATGTTGTTGCCCTTGTATTTCGATTGCAAAACCATATTCTGGATAATAAATATCAAGTTCTAATTCTACGGGATATTTTGGTATTTTAAGAAAATTAGGTTGGCAAATATTAGATGGCTTTTCAAGAAATTTAGATATAGTTTCACGACATAAATTTTCACGTATATATTTGTTACTACAATGTGGACACCATGAACTACGATATTTTATATTAGCAAATGTGATATTCCATATATGTCCTTTAGAGCAATTCCATGTTAGTTTAGAATGTGCATCTTTATATCTATCTGAAAGACAGTTCCCATTTAGTTTCTGTATCAAATTTTGCATATACTCAATAGATCGATTCCATCTAACACATATGGGACACCATGAACCTTTATTTTTTACACTTTGAAGTATTGCACTCCAGTCATGACCTCTAATACATTTCCATCTTAAATGAGATGAACCATTAATATATTCATTTGAAATATACTCTCCACCTTTATTGATTGCAATCATTTTAGCAATATCGAGAGTATTTTTAACTTGGCCTATACAATATGGACACCATGTATTTTGATATTTTATATTATCAAGTGTCACATCTCATTCATGACCCTTGACACATTTCCATCTCAAATGGGATTTGTTATTAATATATTTATTTGAAATACATTCTCCACCTTTATTAATTGTAATTATTTTGGCAATTTCAAGAGTTTGACAAATTTTACCTATACAATATGGACACTACGTATTTTAATATTTTATATTATTAAGTGTTGCATTCCATTCATGATTTTTAACACATTTCTATTGCAAATGGGATTTACCATTAATATATTTATTTGAAAGGTATAACCCATCTCTTTTTATAGCAATTTCACAAGTAGTATTTAAAAATAATTTTTTCATTTGTAAATAATTTTCATATAAGATTTTTTATTTAATTTACTGTCTTTACGCTTCACATGTTCAAGGTGCGAATTTTGATAAATATAATTACAGCAGAGGTAGACCATATGAAGATGGTACTGCAATATGTTTTCATTGTATAAAACTTATGCATATCAATGTTAATTTAGGTCCAAAAACAAGTCAATTCAATTTAATGAAAGATCATTATAATTATGAATGCTCAAGATCACAAATCGATTATGGATGTTCAAGATCACAAACTGAGTTTGGGTATATAAGGGTTATACAAAGACTTTGGATAAATTTTAGAGAAAAAGAACTGTCAAATGTACAACTTGCCTAGAACAGTTTATCAAATGATAATATCTCAGATGATAAGAAATTTCTAAGTATAACTTTTTGCAAGTTGAAGAATCTTGAAACTCTAGAACAGCATGTATTACATTTTGCTAAAAAATGTATAACTATAATTAAAGCTCCCCACAAACCTTAGGGACTCGCGAGCCCATTGAGCTCAGTTGAGCTTAGTCAAGCCAAGCCTAGAATTATAGGCTTGGCTTGACCAGGCTTGTTGAGCTCTCGAGCTTAATATATAGGCTCGAGCCTAACTAAGGCTTGGTTTAACTGGACTTGACTGGGCTTAACCAGGCTTGTTGAACTCTCAAGCTTAATGTATAAGCTCATGAACTTATTTATAGGACTCATGAACCTATATATGGCTTGTAAGCTTGTTATAAGACTCATGAGCCTATATATGGCTCGCGAGTCTAATATAACATCAGGAAATTTTTTTGATGTAATATTCTATAATTTAATACTTATGGAAATATTTACTCTAAATTTTTGTAGATCTTTAATTATATAAAAATCTATCATCTTTTTTTTTTAAAAAAAAAAAATTATCTTCTTCAAAGTATTTCGAAGTATGTGGACATGTTTAAAAGTAAGTAAATTTTTTTTTTTTAAAACAAATAAATAAAACCAACAATATACTTACCCTTACTTCTTTTTTTTTAAAATCATCTCACAGATTTGAGATTCGAGATAGGTGAAGGATGTGAATATTTGATTTTTTTTTAAAAAAAAAAAAGTTAATATATTAAAAACTCGCTTACCTTACTTCCTTCTTTAATAATATACTTGCCTTTCTTCTTCTAGTTTGTGGAAACACCGTGAGATCGAAATAGGTTTCGTGAATTTGAAAGATATTTGATAAGTTTTTTCTATCTTTTTTTATTATTTTTTTTTATTTTTTTTAAAATAATTAAAAAAAACTTATACTTACCTTATTCCTTGCTTTATTAATATACTTACCTTTTTTCACCTTGACTTTGCTGGTTTGTGGGATACCTTTGAAGGCCGGAATTAGCTTCGCGGGCTCAGGAGACGTTTGGTAAACTTTTCTTTATTATTTTTTATTTTTTTTTTATATAATTAAAAAAAACCTATACTTATCTTATTCCTTGCTTTATTAATACACTTACCTTTTTTCACCTCGACTTTGCTGGTTCGTGGGACACCTTTGAAGGTCAGAATTGACTTCGCAAGCTCAAGGGACGTTTGGTAAGCTTTTCTATATTAGTTTTTATTTTTTTTTTATATAATTAAAAAAAACCTATACTTACCTTATTCCTTGCTTTATTAATACACTTACCTTTTTTAATCTTGACTTTGCTAGTTCGTGGGATACCTTTGAAAGCCGAAATTGGTTTTGCAGGCTCAAGGGACATTTCACTGGTCGAAAATTGATAAAATATACACATATCGGATACCCGATATGTATATGTTTTATCAATTTTCGACCAGTGTTTAGTAAGCTTTTCTATATTATTTTTTATTTTTTTTTTTATATAATTAAAAAAACCTATATTTATCTTATCCCTTGCCTTAATAATACTCTTACCTTTCTTTTTTTTTGGTTCATGGAAATACCGTGAGATTTGAAATGGATGTGAGGAGACATTTAGTGAGTTTTTTTATTTTTTTATTTTTTTGTTAAATAATTAAAAAATCTATTCTTATCTTATCCTTGTCCTGATAATACACTTACCTTTTTCTTTCTCTCCTTAGGAATTGGGTGAAATTTAGTTCATAGAATTGAGAGAATGTATTTTATTTATTTAACTCTATAATATAGTTTAAGCTTTATTTCTAGTCTTTAAATTCTAAAGTATTAAATAAATATATATAATAAAGTAAAATAAAGTAGGTATATTTATATATACTAGTAAAATAAACTTGTTTTTTTTATAATTAAATCATTCATAAATCATCTGAAATATCAACTTAATAATAATATTTATTAAATTACCTAAAATAATATTTTAAATAATTTAATATATCAAATCATCCAATTTCAAATAATTTAAATGATTTCATAATTTTTAGGTAATTTAATATTATTTTAAATCACGAACAATTTGATGCAACTTATATTAGATTAGATCTTCTAAATTTCTCTTGTTGCTAGCTGTTATTATCATTTTTATTTCCTCTTATAATTATTTTTGTTACAATAGAACCTAAAAAATATAGATAAAATGTTAAATACTGAAGATCATTCTGAAGAACATTTTGAAAAATATTTTAAAAACCATGACACTGATAATGAAGTTCTTTCTGTTCAAAACACAATCATATCTTCCTCAAAAAAAAGAACTTTTAAAATTTATCAATATTTTACTTATGGAACTGATAAAAGGTGACACTGCAAACATTGCACGTAAGTATTATTTATTTTTTATTTATATTATTTTATTTTTATATTTATTGTTTTGTA